GTGGGGCGGGTGGGGGGAGGGGGCAGGGTTGGAATGGTGCCTGTCAAATAATATAGTACTATATCAGTATTAGCCACTACTATTTTTGTTTTCTGTTTTTCTTTTGGCCACTACTATTGTTATCCAGTAAATATCAAGTGTTTTCTGTCAGTCACTGTGCTGAGGATGGGAAGATCCTGCCCCAGAGTAATCCATAGTTAAGTGAAATTCAGGGCTCTACTTCATCTTCTCAACTTTCAACTCAGTTCTCTTTTTTCTACATCTCGTATCTTATTTCCAAAAGAATAAATTCAAGGTTCATAGTTTAATCTCAATATTTAATTTTTCTTCCCAGTTTCTCTGAGATACGATTGCTATATAACATTGTATTAGTATATAAAATAATTATTTTATATATGTATATTTTGTGAAAAGATTGCCACAATAAATTTGGTTAACATCCATTGCCTCACATAGTTACAGTTTTTTTTTTTTTCTTGTGATAAATACTTTTAAGATCTATAAGATAAATAAGTGCCGGAGATATAATATATGGCATGGTAACTATGGTTAACAATACTATATTTATATCTGAAATTTGTTAAGAGTAAATCAATCTGTAATTTCTACCTGATATTTAAAGAGATAATTAGAAAGTTGACTTGCTGCCTAAAATAAAATATTTTATTTAAAGTCATTTAAAATTTTGTTTTATAGATGTTTGTTTACTACTAATGGGTGTGAGCAAGTTAGATGTCCTATACCGGAGACTTCTCCTCACAAAACTTTTTATCAGAGGATGGGGAAGGCCTGAAGATCTCAAAAGGTAAGCATTTTTTCTGAATGCTTATTGTTAGAGTAAATATTCAAAATTTTAGTTCTGCTTTAAAGTCCTTTAAAGTTTATAAAGTGATTAGAAAATTAAGCATTAAACTATAAAAACGAAATCATTTCCTTTTCTTTTTAAATTTTTTTTTGTTTTGACCCATATAATCATAAATTGAACTATTTTAAAAGTAATTCAGTTGTAAAAATACAGAGCTCTCAGAAATACAAACTAGATTTTTAACTGTAATAATTTTTAAGTTGATAAGAGTATCCAGGGATTGAGCGTTCTTGGGTAAATTCAATTTGTAATGACTCTAAAGGTGAGGTACACTGTAGGTCATAGGGCTATCTGGACTTAAGTAAATTTTCAAGGTTTACACTTTTAATTTTGAGTCATGTATATGTTAATTTCTTAACAGTGATATTTCTCGCTTTTTTCTGTTACTATACAGCTTGCAAAAAACCACCACCCTTATCTTTTCCTATGATGATTGAAATTAAATTTTAGCATGGCTTATGAACTGGACTTGCTAATTTTTAACCACTATTCAGTCTCAGTTTAATGTCTATACTGAATTTTTTCCTTTTTTTCCCCTTATCATAACAGACTCTTTGAATTCAGAAAGATGATTGGAAATCGAGAAAGATGTCAGAATCTGGTTTCAAGTGATTATCCAGTATACATTGACAAGGTATTCAAATGAAATAAATGCTGTTATAGAACTTCTGGTTTAGCATAAATATGTGGCAAAAAATAGCTTGAATGTTAAAAGTATAATAACAGTAAACATTAAAAAATGAATATAGAATAGATTTTTCATTTTATATTTTTAAAATGCTACATGTAGCCTAACTGGATGCTTATAATAATTATATACAGGTATATTTAGGAGCATATATTTAGTACTTGCCTAAATATAAGAAAATATTTAGGGCTGGATCTTTTTGAGCCTCATTTTTTTTTTTTATCTTTAGGCTCAGGAGGGTTAAACTATTCAACATTTCAGAAGAATTGTAAGTAATGCAAGGAAGTACTGTAGTTGGAGAATCAGTGCATAAGATATTAGCAAAACAATTATTAAATAACATCCGGGAAAATGGTATATGATATGGTTATTGCTGAGAGAATGGTACAAAGAAAATGCTATAAAATTAGAGGAGATGAGAAAATGTACAGCATGTCCTTGAATAATGTCATTTCGTTATAACATTGATAAGATACTGTAGGGACTTAACTTTTCTTTATATCAATTAGCCTGTGGTAAAACTGGTTTCCTTATACCTCATTTCACTTAAAGTCATAGAACCTGTTGACAATGTTAAGTCAGGACTTACTGTATTTGAAGTAGTTTTGTTTTTAAGCTACCACATGTTTTTCTGTAACTATTTCTAGATTTATATAATTGGATGGTAGAGGTATTGTTGGAGAGGGGGTACAAATATGTAGGCTTCACATTTCTCACCGTCCTCAGCCAAAGTAACTGTACTTTCATCTCTTTTATATACTGAATATCTTTAGAAGATTTTATTTTTCAAAAGTGCTCCATTGCTAAAAACAAAATTTTAATTGGAAAGCCCTCCTCTACATCATCTATCTGTTCCTTCTGTATCTTCCAGATTTAAAATATCTCTCCTTCAAATTTTATTAAATATTTCTATTTTCTCTATTTTATGCCTATTAAAAACCGTAGGTTTAAAAGAAACATTTAAAGAATATGAAGTAAAAATCAAAAACCTCCCATTTCTGCCACTTTCCACCACCTAAATCATTTTCCTCCCAAGGAAGAGTTATTGTTAAGACTTTGGAATGCATTCTTACAGATTTTCTTCCTCTCCCCACAACCCCTCTCTCATTCTCTCTCAGTTTTTACACTCAAGATATAATTCACATGCCATAAAATTCATGCTTTAAAAGTATACGATTCGATGTCGTTGTTTTTTATTATTACATTACCAAACTATCACTCTCTCATTCCAGAACATTTTTATTGACCCCCAAAAAAAGCCTGTACGGAATTAGCTGTTACCTCCCATTTCCCCAGCCCCCATCTGCCGGCAATCACTAATCCACTCTCTATGGATCCTCTATTCTGGACATTTCATATAAATGGAATCATATAATATATGGCCTTTTGTGTCTGGCCTATTTCACTTAGCAAATTTTCAAGGTTCATCCATGTTGTAGCATGTACCGGTACTTTATTCTTTTTTACGGCTAAATAATACTCCATTGTACGGATATATGATATTTTATTTATCCATTTATCTATTGATGGACATTTGAGTTGTTTCTACATTTCGACTATTATGAATAATACTATGAACATTAATATACAAGTGTTTTTGTGGATATATGTTTTCTGTTCTTTTGGGTATATAGGAGTGAAATTGCTAGCTGATATGGTTATTCTATGTTTAATTTTTCGACAAACTGCCAATGTTTTCCAAAGTGAACCATTTTACATTCCCACTAGCAATATATATATATATTGCATATATACATAATGGTTCCAATTTCTCCACATTCTCATTAATATTTATACTACTCCTAGCCATCCTAGGGGGTATGAAGTATATTTTGTTGTGATTTTGATATGCTTTTCCTTAATGACTATGATGTTGAGTATTTTTATGTGCTTACTGGCCATTATATCTTCTTTGGAGAAATACTATGAAATACTTGCCTATTTTTAATTAGGTTATTAGTCTTTTTAACATCGAGTTGTAGCTTGCTTAATTTTTAAATTTGTATTATGTGTGGCTCTAAAATTGTGTAATACAAAATTGCCAAGTATAGCTTAAAAAAATTTTTTTTTACCAAATTGCCAATTATCCCAACACTATCTGTTGAATTATTATTTGCTTTTACATTAGTTTGTGCTACTTCCTCTATCAAATAGTTTGTTCTCCTAAAATATATAAGAAGAAAACTTCAAAACTATACTAGCAGGCACAAAGATGACTAAAATGCAAAGACTTTTTGGATTTGAAATTTCATAATATACACGTTAGGTATCCTTACTATTTTCAAAAAAATAGATAGATAGATAGATAGATAGATAGATAGATAGATAGATAGATACAGTCCAATTAAAATATTCAGTTCACAACTTAGGTCCATAAAAGGATCCTAAAGTTATTTTGGGAAGAACTATGAGTACAGTCAGGTCATGAATACCTGAAAAGGTGGAGTGATAGGTAAAAAGTAGTTCAGTCATATATCAATGGATATTATAAAGCTGCAGCACGATCAACACAGAATGATATTGGTTCAGAAATAAAAGATAGGCTAATAAGACCTATAAAGGATTGAAAATAATTTTCAAGATTATTTATGAAAATTTATGAAAATTGACTTCATAATAAAGTAGCATTTTATGTCATTTGCAAAAAATGTGGATTATTTAATAAATGTTGACACAACTGACTAGAATTCATGTTTTAAGTAAAGCTGGATGTATATAACAACAACAGACACATTTTTTTTTTGTTTGTGATTTTAACGAAAATGTGTGACTTTACTGCAAATTTAATTTTGACTATTGGCCTGGTAAAGATTATTTAAAGGAAGAAACGAACAACTGTTTGAAGGGAAAAAAAGTTTAGGTATTGAATATTAGCAAATGGCTTTGCTATATCTATAAATGTCACATTTCTCTTTATTTAATGTGTTGACATGACTTTTTACATCAATAATTACATGAAAATAAGCCATTCTAACATATTTGATATAAACCCTTACTTAATTGTGTAAATTATTTTTATAATTTGTAAATTGTTCCTGTCGACTTTTTTTTTTTTGTCGGTTTCAAGTGTACAGTACATTAGTTAGACATTTATATAGTTTATAGAATGATCCCCCTAATTACTCCTTTTCCCTTCTGATTCTCCACCTAGCCTGTATATTAATGCTAACTGCATTCTCTATGCTGTGCTCCCCATCCCTGTTACCATCTATCAACTACTAATTTGTACTTCTTTAACCCTTCACTCCATTCTCCCAGCCCCGCAATCATCTGTCACTAAATTGTCTTATGTTTACTTTTACATTGTCAAATTCTTCTAGCTAGTATTTCAAGTTATTGCATATCATTGCATAAATGAGCTTTGTTTATAGTTTCCCATCTAGACTGTATGCAGTAAAGGATACAGAAGGAAAAGAAATGTGTGCAAATGGAGGCCATGCCTTTAGAATGCAGAGTTGGGCAAGAAAGATACACATAGTAGGCACTAAAAATTTTTAATTGAATGGAAATTTTTTTGCAGAAAAAACATTTATAATAGACTGAACATACATTAATCTAAATGTATACATCTTGGGTTTTGCTTTGCTTTTAGATTGAAGAGCAGTCAGACTGTAAGATACTAGATGGACACTTTGTTTCTCCAATGGCCCACTATGTGCCTGATATCATGCCAATTGAATCTGTTATTGCAAGGTAAGAATTTTTATTCTGAAAGTTAAAGTAGTAAGTCGTTTATGTTCACTTAAAATTATAATATCAATAGCATGTCATTTGAAATTACTTAGCATTAATTACAGTAATTACTTGGATTTTCCCCATTACACATGGTGTAAGAGGACAGTAAAATTATAGAGATTTAGTATACATTTGAACTTAAGTTGTCATCAACTTATAGTATGCTATTATAAACATAAGATGTTTTGTATAAGTCTCATAGTAACTAAAATCTTTATGAACAGAAGAGGAAAAAAACATAAGCACATCACTACAGAAAAGCATAAAATCACAAAGGAAGAAACAAAAGACATAAAACAGCTAGAAAATAATTAACAAAATGGCTATAGTAAGTCCATACCTATCAATAATCACTTTAAATGTAAATGGATTAAATTTTCCAATCAAAAGGTGTGGAATGCTGAATAGATAAAAAAAAAAAGATGACCCAACTATATTGCTGCGTATGAGAGACTCACTTCCAATATAAAAACATAAACAGTGAAAGTGAAGCAATGGAAACATATTCCATGCAATAGAAACAGAATAAAGCAGAGATAGCTGTACTTATACAAAAGAGACTTTAAGATAAAGGTTGTAGTAAATGTCAGAGGAGGTCATTATATAATGATGAAGGGGCAAATCCAACAAGAGGATGTAACATCTGTAAATATATATGCGCCCAACATTGGAGCAAATTATATAAAGAAATTATTAACAGACCTGAATGAAGAAATAAACAATACAATAACAGTAAGGAACTTCAGTATCCCACTTTCAACAATGGATAGATCATCCAGACAAAAAATCAATAAGGAAATCGAACTTCAAATACATGTTAGATTAAATGGACTTAACAGCCATTTACAGACTATTGTATCCAACAGCAACAGAATACACATTCATTTTAAGTGTACAAGAAACATTCTCAAGGATAGATCATATGTTAGCCCACAAAACAAGTCTTAATAAATTTAAGAAGACTGAATCAAATCAAGCATCTTTTCTGACCACATTGGTATGAAACTAGAAATCAAATACAAAAAGAAAACTGGAAAATTTACAAATATTTAGCAGCTCAACAACATGATACTAAATAACCAATGAGTCAAAAAAGAAATTAAAAAAAAAAAACCTTGAGACAAATGAAAATGGAAATACAATACACCCAAACTTATGAGATGCAGCAAAAGCAGTTCTAAGAGTAAAGGTCACAGGGATATAAACACATTAAGAAAAAAGAAAGATCTCAAACAACACTTTACACCTCAAGGAACTAGAGAAAGAAGAACAAACTAAGCCCAAAGTCAGTAGAAGGAAGGAAATAGTATAGATCAGAGCAGAGATAAATGACATAGAGACTATAAACAGAAAAGATCAATGAAATTAAGCGCTGGGTTTTTGAAAAGATAAAGTAGGCAAACTTTTAGCTAGACTCACCAAGAAAAAAAAAAAGAAAAAAAGACATATACCATATGATCTCACTTATATGTGGAATCTTAAAACAAACAAACAAAACCCCCTCAGACTCATAGAGAAAACAGATTGGTGTTGCCAGAGATGGGGGTTTGGGGGGTAGGCAATGAACAAAGGTGGTCAAAAGGTACAAACTTTCAGTCGTAAAATAAATAAGTCTTGGGAATATAATGTACAGCATGGTGGCTCTAGTTAATAACACTGTATTGTATATTTGGACATTACTAAGAGAGTAGATCTTAAAAGTTCTTATCACAAGAAAAAGAATTGTGTAACTGTGTGGTGATAGATGATAACTAGATTTATTGTGGTGATCGTATCATTGAATCATTACATTGAATCATTATTTTGTACATCTGGAACTAATAACATGTTAAATATCAGTTCTCTCTCTCTCTCTCTCTCTTTTTTTTTAAGAGACCTTGGAAGCTGGAAATGGGAAGCCATCAAGATCCACATGCATACTTCCCTTTCCCGGGTGCTTTATGGTCTCTTATCTCTGCTTTATGACCCATGTGCATGCCATTTCTCGGTTTCTCATGCAACCACAACAAAATAAGAGCTGCCACAGCCTCACACAGCTTCCATTTTCAAAAGCCCAACACATTCTAAGTCTGTCTCAATTCCAGATTACTAGAAGGGTAAATCTCATAGCCATAATTTGGCCTATACCTGGCCCAGTCATCTGTGGCAGAGGAGCTCATGTGGCCTGTACCCATTCATCATGGGGCTCTGGAAAAAATTAAGAGTTCGTTCCCATGAGCACAAAGCAGAAACCATCTTGAATATATTTGTTTATCTTCTATTCAGTAGTTTATTGACAATAGTTAACTAGTAATATTGTCCCTTGCCCAAGCAAAGTAAGTAAGCTCAGAATTGTAGTTTATGTTGCCTGAGAATGCAGCCACCTAAAGGGTTCTGTTTTCTAAGACTTAATCATATACATTGATGTCTCTACAAAATAAGACAATTTAAAGTTGTAGTACTGAACAAGATAAAAAATAATTACAATATAGTCAGTGTTTATATTGTAATTGAATATTTTAATATCCTAACACAAAGCAAATTTATAATATCTTCATTGCTTTTAGGCAAACAGTTTAATCGATTTTGATTTGAATGTCAAAATTCTGAATGATCTTTGCTTCCAAATAATTTAATCATAAAACTTTAAGAACTGAAAGTTTGTATTAAAAGGCTTTTCTTTCTTTTTTTCTTGTATTTTTTTCCGTCTTTTGTATTAAAAGTTTTAAAGAGAATTCACTAATGTGTTTTATTTTAAATAGGTTCCAATTTATTGTGCCTAAAGAGTGGAACAGCAAATATAGGCCCGTATGCATTCATCTTGCTGGAACAGGAGATCATGTAAGACTTTATTATAATATCGAATCCCTAATTTGTCAACATACTCTCCTTAGCAGATGTGTTTATTCTTTAAGTATGTCATCTTTTCTTTCTTTAGCATTACTGGAGACGACGAACACTGATGGCCCGTCCTATGATTAAAGAAGCCCGGATGGCTTCTTTGTTGTTAGAAAACCCTTATTATATCCTTTTGTGATACCTAGAAATCTTATCTCTTATTTATAGATTTAGTCTTCAAAAGGAATGCTAGATAGTAGCCAACTTTTCTAAATGAGTTAAATTTAGTCATCAGTTCAGAAAGTACTTAAGAAGAATGACATGAAAAATTGTTTCATGTCTTAAAAACTGAAGTAAGGATTGTGCTTCTGTTTTATAATTAAGATAAATTGTATGTTTATTTCCTGTGAAACTTATGTTGAATTTTAATATTAATAAGTCAAATGTTTGCTATTAAGGAAACCCTCATGTTTTAAATGCATTCACATTTAAGTATCAGCTGAGGTTTAGAACAGTTCTTAACTTAATTTTCAAGATGATGTCAGACTGTACCCAGAAGAGGAAACGAAACTGATGTACAGATATAAAGAAATGCTCAACGTTGTTGGTAATAAGAGAAATATAAAGTTGCAGCAACAATTACCAAAGATTTAAAAAAATAAAACACAGTAGTCATGAGGCTATTATGAAATGGGCACTCTCATTACTGATGGCTGTCAATATCAGTTCAGCTCTTTGGGAAAGCATTTTTACCATATGCATTGTGAGCCTTAAAAAAATCTGACTTCCCTTGACAGTGATTTTCATCCTGAGACATTTATTCTAAGGATAAAATACTAAGAAAAGAGAAAACAATAGAAGAAAGATATTTATGTAGCTTTATTTATAATAGTAAAACTTTAGAAATAGCTTCCGTGTCCAACAATCACAAAACAGTTGAGAAAATTGGTTCACATTATTCAATTGGTTGTGTTACGTTTACTGCTTTACCACTTACTACCCGTATGACCTTGGACCTGTTACTTAACCTTTAATACCTCAACTTTTTTGTTGGCAGTGGGAACGATCTCTTAGGTTACTCACAGTATTATATAGTTAATACTGTATAAAATAATGCTTGGTAAAAAAGCATTCAGTAAATTTTAACAGTTGATTATCATTTTTAAAAGTTCACACTAATGGATAAAAAGTATCTTTAATGCAAAAATAGGATATAAAATTCTATAGTATGACACAGGTATCCAAAAAAAAAGAAAAAAATCCATTAAAAAAATTATGCAAAAGGAAAAATACTGGAAAGAAATACAGCAATGTATTAATATAGTTATACATAAATAAAAGTTTTTCTTCTAATAAGCATTTCTATGTTTTCTGAATTTTCCCTAATAAGCATATAAGTGAAATAAATAAACCATTTTAAAATTAAGTTGAAGATTGCACAATCCTATAAATTTACTAAAAACATTGAAATGTACACTTTTAATGGGTAAATTGTGTTATATGACTATATTTCAGTAAAGCTGTTTAAAAAAAGCAGTTAAGTTGAAAAATCTGAGAACTAAAAAGCATATGTGAGGTAACCAGAAAACAGTTATTTCAGTATTAAATTGTCTTCAACTTTAACTATTTTGCTAAAGTTAATGTGTTTTGAGATAGAGAGTAATTATTTTAAAACTTTCTCTTTGACCTACATTCTTAAATGGCTGCAGGAAACCCAAGGACCAAATGTAAGTATATGTCATATTCACTGTTGCAGTCTTTATTCTGAATTTTCAGTAATATTAAAATATTTAGTAGTATTCAGTTAATCATTTCTAAGTTTAATCTTCAAGTATTATTGGAAAATTATAAAACTATAGGAGGAATGTTAACTTATTTTTATTTTAAGGTTTTCATTTTAAATGTCTAATAAATACATAAGTATTTTAATAGGCTGACTGAAGATATATTTTATTTATAAAACTTTAACTGAATAAATGATAACTTTTTAAAGTACATTTTGTAAAATTAAACACTGCCCTTTTTATTCTTACAATGCATAATAACATAGGTAATCTGAAAATAAACTTTCTCTTCTTGGTCTGTTGAAATGATGAACTTTGAAGGTAATTATTTTGCATTTCTATAATCTATATTGTGTTTAGTTTTGATTTATTTATTAAGTTTTTGACCCTAGACACTGTATAAAGAGCAAACTCAGGTGGACCTGAAAATTCAAACTTTCATACCAGGCCAAAATAAATAATTGGGAATTGGTGGAAGTGGGGGACAGGGGGCGAATTAAAGAGGGGAGAAAAAAAAATATTCAGGAATTATGTGATCATAGAAAATTAGAATGAGGATAGGAAACAAATATAAGGATAAATGGCCTCTTTTTTGATGAAGCATGAGTATGATCTGTTTTGACATAGAATAGTGTATTTTTCATAAAGAGAAGCTTTGCCTTATGTATGCACTTATGAGCTCTGGGTGGATGTGGTAGGACTGTGGGCCAGAAGCTCTTGGGGGCCAGAATTCTGTTTTTAACAACT